ATTGAACTTTGCTTTGACGTAGCACTGGCTAATTGGTGATCTAAATTATTGCTGAATTAAAAATAAGAAGCGAGTGATACGAAGCTTGTTGTAGCGTGCAACTTAATTTCTCCTTTTTAAACGGATCCTTGACGTGGAATTGGCTAATTATCGATTGAAGTTATTACTCGATTGAACGAGAAAAATTGACACAAGCGGAAGAGGCCACAGTAAACTGTAGGTGTACAATTTAATTCTCTTTCTAAATGGAGCTTCTTTTTGACGTGGTATTAGCTAATTACAGTACTTACTTAAATTATTATTTGATTGAAAATTCTCTTTGACGTGATACTAGCTGATTCATTTTTGAGAAACTGTTTGAAAGGAGCTTCCAGTCTCCACTGCAACAGATATTCTAATATGGAATTCTAATTTCGCATTTTTAAAAAATATGCGAAAATATTTTTTATTAATTTATTGAACGTTTTCTTTTAATTAATAATTAAGCGTTCGTGTGACTGCAGTAGAATTTCTTATATCCAAACTCACATTATTCGGCTACTGTAATATCAGATTGTTCTTTATTATTCGAACATTTTGTTATCTCTGAATAAAATATTTACTAATAATAGACTTTTTTTTTAAATTGTATTACAATTTGAGTATATTGCTGAAGAAGTTAGATGATTCAACAACTAAAAAATATGTAGCATTCTTAAATATTGAAATAAACTGGTAATTACCTTGATCTCTATTTAAATACAAGCAATTTAATATCAAAGGAAATAATTGTTCTATTCTCCAAAAATTCCATTGACTGAACACTTCTGTTTTTTTATTAATTAATACTGCAGATTCTGCCGTACGATGCGTTTTTCATAGTTGCAAAAGGAACTTGTGAAAGTTCTTAAAAAAAACAGTACTGAGAGTATATGTAAGAAATCACGATAAAAGTCAATATATAAGTGGTATATATATATACACATAAATGAAATATTGTTGCAATATTTAGCACATTAAATAATTTTCCATCCAAGTTTTATTTCTTCAATCATATAAAATGAAATTTCCAGAAAAGTTCACGGCCTTTTTATGAGTGACAAAAATATCACGATCATAATTTTTTCACAGACTGAAACAGCAAACGAGAAATAACGAGGATGTATCTTTATTAAGAATTATAAGATGTCTTCGCGACATCTCTAGAATTAACATACATTGCGCCAGGAAAGTCAAATGACATAGTAGCTAGTTGAAAAACATATATTAAATAAACTGACGATTTTTTTAATCTCCATTTGAACGCGTGAATTTTAATCGTTCTATTGATCGAACGCTTTTATCTCCCGCATTAATTCGAACACGAAATTCTCTGTCAGGGAGGATTATTCATACAATGTGTTTCAAAAGTAATGAAATGAATAATCTGAACCTGAATTACGCGTTAGCTTTTTTTTTTGTTTTTACATGAAAACGACTTTTCTCCAGATTACTTCATTATTTGGCTGTAAAACGAAAATTGGAATAAACATTGGAATAAAAAATTTTTAATCGATTAATTTCTCAGATACATACTTTCTAGTCGTAGTAGTATATCAACATTATCAACTGTGTAACAAGTACAGATTGTTTGCCATTTTATTTAAATAATTGTTTAAAAGTGACTTTATTTGAACTAAATCGTACGAAGTTAAATTACGTTGTTTCTAAATCAATGATGATAAATTCGTTGAAATAACACGTTACCTCAAATTATTATTTTTTATAAAATTGAAAATACGCCCAATCCTAACTTCTCGAATAAATGCGAAATTAGCTTTCCTCGCATGAAAAGCTGTAAAAAAAGGTACGAAAGGTATAAAGAATCTCAATAAAGAAAAAGAAACGATGAAGAGAAGGTGGATCCTTGGTGAAATCACAGGGAAGTCAGTGTTGAAAAAGTGTTGCAAAATCAGATTTTGCTGCGCAGCTAAACGTATCCAGCAATTTGGCTCGTTCGCTACACGGGAGTGTTACTTGCCTCGCCGGAACATGTAGGACCGGAATTTCAATTCCTGATTGGTCTCTCAACTACTTACTTGCGTACATGTCGGTCACTGTTACGCTCGTGTTTCGCAAAATTAATCAGACTCTATTATTACGAGATTGTAGTTAACACGTCGATGAATTCATAATTCAGTGCGACGATACTCCCGCAACAGCCGGTTTTAACCCCTTCGTGTGTATCCGAGGGCGAAATATCACGCTTTGCAACGTATTTCACAGTACGATGTCGTTGATGCCTGGAATTATCTTGCGTGCCAGAAAAATAAAATCATCAATGGGAGCTGAGTACTTTTCATTTTTTGTCATTTGATCGTCTCTTTTTTCGTGGCCATTTTTTGACCAAAATGTGTTTTAATTTGCACATCGTTTCGCACGGTCAGAAACGATCATTACATAAAATTCAACCTTCAGCTCTCTTTGTAATCGAGTAAATTCATCGAGTTTCACGCAGATACATATAGCAGCTGTTCACATTAATATTTAGGTTATTACGATTTCGTAAAGCAACAAACTTGAGTTCGTTTTAAGTCTCTACGAATGCATCCATTCGTGTTTTCACGTCATGTAGCGAAAACGAATAGAACGAGGAAAGTATTGCGACTGTCTAAAGTCTAAAGTTTAATAAAATGGCGAGAAAAAAAATGATATAGATTACATAAATTTCTAGAGGGTTATAAAGGAGAGACTTTTCAGTCTTCAAAACCCATTGTAAATTTAGCCACGAAAGGAATTTCTCAATGTTTCTACGCACTGTGACAATTTGTAGCATCTTCGAAAAGAAAAGTGCCTCCCGCAATTATCAATTCATTCACAGACACATTTAAAGACACACATGTAGAAGATCTAATCAAGTTCGTAAAAGGAAAACTGATAACAAAATCTCACCAATAATTCCATCCAAACACCAGCAGAACCAACCAAACTCCCCAGGATAGAGCAGGTAGCCATAAACAGGATTAAAATTGGCCACGAAAATCACACACGCACATATACTAGCAAGAGAACCTGCATCCACTTGCGACGAATGTGAAGAGACCAGCACAACTGACCACTTAATCCTACACTGCCTAAAATACAAAGACGCCAGCACCCGCCTAAAAATCTGCCCCCACAATAAAGCAGAACCTCAGGAAAGAAAAAGTAGATAACTTCATCCGATTCGTAAAAGAAACCCAACTACTGACAAAAATAGCCTAAAGAAAAGTTAACCAAGTCGCTAATAACCAAAGTAGTTGGTTATTAACGACTATAAACAATCTATATATATAAAAAAAAAGTGTCTTCACCCGCTGTATAATGTTAGAGAACATAAAATAAAACTAGAATGGTACATTTTGAAAGCAGAGGCTTCAAGATTTAATGCTGCTAGAATTACCAAAGTGATCAAAATGAGCAATTTATGTCACAATATTATATTCAGTAAAATATATAAAATGTACACGTAAATGTATAAAAATATTTCTATATAAATGTATTATATTCATAATTTGTTATAGATTAGTTTCCAGACTTTCCAGTCGCATTTTTAAAGACTTGAATGACTATTGTAAAATACATGAATAAAAGTTCGTGTTCCTTCACTCTAAATTACTTATAAATTTCCCTTGCACCCTAATTTCTCTGATACAATTTTTATACCATGATCGTCGGTGATTCTAGTGTTACAATGAAACCAAGTTTATTGTTGTACGAAATTGTAACAGTTACAATATTTAATGCGAGGCCCCGACTATACATAGTTTGTTCGTGATGAAAGTAACAGGCAAACAATTTCTTTAGCAACTACTTAAAATTTTGCCTGTTTTATGGAGATGTATATATAAAATATACATTTTCTTCTTCTAAATGTACGAAAAACATGAAGTATCTCATATTTTATCGCTCAGTTTCATGTTTCATCGACTGTTCCGTTCATGGATTCGATGAGGGTTAATCCCTTAGTATACTCTTTGAGTACTATACTTTGAATACTATACTCGTAATAGGAAAAAGAATTCACTTTTGCTACTCATTGTAAAATTTAGGTAAAAGAATAATCTTAGCACATTTTATAGAATATTTCAAGGCAAAACAAAAAAATAAAACAAGGCCAATAGAATTAAAAATTTTTCAAAAAAACACCAAAAAAAAACTTGTCATTTTGTTATGATTTAAGCAATCGATCTTGCAGCAAATGCATTCACTGCGTTTTCGTCGAATATCGCCCAGGA